AATTTTCTGCCCAACTAAGGGCTTCTCTGTAAATTACCAAAGTTTAACTTAATAAAATAGAATTAAGGGTGTAAGAGAAGAGATTATGTTTGAAAATCTCTCTCTCTGAACCCTAGTTGCCGCCATCTTCTTCTTCATCTTCTCCCTTCTAGAATTCTGATTTCTGCTATTTTCTTTTGACTTTTTGCATCTTTCTAAACAGTCATTTCCTATCAAAGGTTGTTTTTCTTCTAAACCCTAACCCATTTACTCTTATCCTGCTCTTTTATTTCTTCTATTGGGGAATATTTTTGTTCTCTCTTGGGATGCAGATGGGCTCCTCCGCAGGATGTAGTAAGTCTTTTCAGCCCTACTTTCCTGAGGCAACAGAAAAAAAGCGGAAAGTGTTTATGGAAGGCATCAAGAGCTGCTGTGGTGTCCACTATTTGGGAGGAAAGAAATCAAAGAATTTTCTTTGGAAAAAGCAAATCAGAGGAAGTCATTGAAGCCATAAAAATCAGAGCTGCACATTAGGTGATGACCATGGAACTATTCAAGAATATCTCCACAAATGACATTCTCAGAAACTGGACTGAAGTGCCACAAACAGATGTACCAAAGGAAATTCTGAGAGTGGAGTGGAAAAACCACCTGCACCAAATAAACTAAAACTTTACTTTGATGGGAATTCCTTTGGCAACCCGGGAAGGGCAGGTATAGGGGGTGTTTTTAGAAATCATCAAGGAGAAGTTGTGGCACTATTCTCAGGACCAATAGGTATTGGTGACTCAGTTCAGGCTGAATTATGGCTCTCCTACAAGGCTTAAAGCTGGCTGAGCATATCGGAGCAACAGATTTAGAAATTGAAGGAGACTCACTACTGGTCATTTCTTGGGCAAAGCCAAATCACTTCAGCACCTTGGAAGCTCAAATTTATCTTTAAGGAAATTGTGACCTACTTGCAAGGAGGTTCAATTCTCAGTTTGGTTGGGTGAAAAGGACCACAAATGGTTTGGCAGATACCCTAGCAAGACAGGGAGCAGATAGACCTACTTTGTTCTGGGCAGTGCTGTAATTGTTTTTAGTTTGGGTCAATGCAGTGCTGAAACCTAACTCTTGTACCTTAATTTTATCTTTGAAATTAATAAAAGTCTAATTTGCTGATCAAAAAAAAAGGATGCTAGGGGAGTGATTGTGGCTCTATACTCAGGCTCAACAGTACAAGGAGATACCCTAAAAGCAGAGAAGATGGCTTTACATTTTGAACTAAGGTTAGTTGCAGCTTTATGGGATTTTATGTCTTAATGGGCCTTTGGGTCTGTTACTTCTTTATTTTGCCATGTTGCCACTTCCCCTCACTAATTGAGGGCATATATGTAATTTTATTATGACTTTAAGTCGGTATAAACAACATTTTAAAAATTGACCCAGAAACGGAACCGCTTTAGCCTCCGGTTTCCGGGTCAGTGGTTCAAAACTCTACCTTGATTGTCCACCTCTCCCCTCCCTAAATTTGCTCCTGCCACACAACTCTTGCCCTAGTTTACTTTAAGAGTGAAAATTCTCCCAAAATGGCACACTAATCTGTTTTAAGTTCAATTACTCTTCTTCTTCCCCCTTCACAAAACAATATAATGTCATCCGCAAACTGTAGATGTATGACCACCACTTAATCCCTCCCAACTCTCCAACCTCTAATCAAATTATCAACATCTGCACTTAAGATCAACTCACTCAGTATATCAGCACTAGAGTAAAGAGGAAGGGTAATAAAGGGTTTACTTGTCTAAGGCCCCTTTTAGCAAGAAAAAAAAAATCCCTAGCTAGTCCATTCACAAAAATGAAAAAAAAAATGACAGAAGATACAACCCTTCACCCATCTAAACCATCTTTCTCCAAAACCCTTGCTATTACGAACCACTAAAAGAAAGCCCCAATCCACCATGTCATAAGCCTTCTCCATGTCCAACTTACAAACCAGCCCCTTTTTCCTTCTACCTCCTATACTCTACACATTCATTGCCAATGAGTATTTGATCCATTATTTGTCTCCCAAAGACAAAAGCCCCTTGATTTGGAGAAATTTGCGAAGGAAGTACCACTTCTGTTCTCAAGGCCAAAACCTTAGAAACAATTTTATACATGCTTCCTATTAAACTCAATGAGCCTCAAATCCTCTGACTGAAGTGTGCCACCTTCTTTGGGATCAAAGCAATAAAAGTTGCATTTGCTCCCAAGTTAAATTTTGCCTCTCTCAAAGACCTCCATCAAATCCCCCCCCCCCCTAATTATCTCCCAAAAATCTTGGTAGAAGGCCATCATAAAGCCATTGGGCCCTGGGCTTTAGATAGACCCATTGAGAAAACTGCATTTTTTACTTTTGGAATTCAAACTTCTTTTCCCAAAGAGTCCAGCAATTCTCTATAACCCACCCTCCACTCCAAATCCTCTATACTTTCTCTAGGTCTCCCCAAACAGTCATTCAATGCCTTGACAAGATTCACAAAAGTTTGTGCTATCTCCTCTTCCCTTGTCAACAAATGTCCACCCCATTCCAACTTCAAAATAGAGTTCTTCCTTTTCCTTCAGTTTTCTAACATATGAAAGAACTTAGTGTTACCATCACCTTCCCTTAGCCATTTACATCTAGATTTCTGTCTCCAACTACTCTCCTCCTTCCTTATTAACTCCTCCAGTTCCCGCTTTAACCTCCATCTTTTGACCCTATCTTCCGCCCCCAACCTTCTTTCAACTTCCAAGCCATCTAATTCATCCACCCTACAGATAATCTCAATTTTCCTCTCCTCAACTCTTCCAAACTCCTCTTTATTCTAAAACTTAATTCTGGCTTTCAGCAATTGCAGCTTCTTGTAAAATCTATACCCCTTCCATTTGAAGTCCACTTGATCCTCCTCCCACCAAACTTTCACCTTTGATAAGAACTCAGGGTGAAGTAACCACATATTCCCAAATCTGAACGGACAAGGACCTCCTCCTACTCTTTCTTGGGTTAACCTAACTGAATGGTCTGAAATAGGTCATGGCGAGGCTGAGACTGCTACACCCCTCCATTCCACTTCCCAATCAGCAATAAAAAGGAACCTATTAAGCTTACATCAAATGGAGATCTCTTGAAAATTTGGCCAGGTAAAATTTGCTTGTAAAAGAGGAAGGTCCCGCAAATGCAAAGGTTTCCACAAAGAAGTTAAACTTCCTCATACGAGAAGTAATTCTATAGCCCGTGTTGTTTGTTTCACCCAAGAATCTAATTACATTAAAGTCCCCACCTAGGCACCACTGGCCATCCCATAATTCTCTAATTGCTGCCAGTTCTTCCCATCCAGAGTCCCTCCCTTTCTCTATAAGAGGTTGGACCACAAACATTGGTTAAAATCCATTCCCAACCATGTTCCTTTCTCTTTCATTTAACTGACACTAAGGGCATGTTCATTTGCTCTAAAGTCAGACATCTGAAAGTGCAATAATTACATTAAGAGGTATATTGGTATTAGTGAACTTTTCTTTCCTCTGAACTCTGAATGCAAAGAATGTTGTTCTGAATTCTGAATTATGAAAATTATCAAATATCCATTTTAACCCCATATATGAGAGTTTTTGTTTGTCTTTTTGGGGTATCATTGGAAAATAAAAAGTTGTATGATTGCACTTTAAGAGATAAGAGGAAACGAACAACCATCTTTCTCTTAAAGTTAAAAGATTCCTCTTAAGAGATAAGAGTTAAGAGAAAACGAACAGGCCCCAAGTACATCCCAATTAGCTCATCAACACACTCCTAGTCATCTTTTTTTTTTATGAATGAATATAATTTATTAATTCAGAAAAGGCAGTACAGGGAACTCAAAAGAGGCACAAGCTGTTACCTCTTCAGGGCAGTATTACATCAAATAAAAAACAGAATTATTCATAAATACAATTACAAAGCAACCCAAAATAGGTGTTCCCTAGTAGCCCCCTGCTTAGCTAATCCATCCGCTAAGGTGTTTGCTGATCTTCCCTCCCAACAAAAGGTAAACTGTCATATTTCT